TTCTCAATGCGTAACCATTCTTCGTGAGCAGCGCAGATTTCATAGCCAAATTATTACCATTCTATTACATTATAATATTGTAGTAAGAGAATGGATCCGACAGTGGAATACCGTTCTGTCGCAATTATTCACTGTCACTCTTCAGAACGTCATGCGAGCATCATAATGGAGTAGCATGGGAGTGAAACTCAACGGCTGACAATTACAACATCTTCATATCGCTGATGAGACCGTTCCTGCAACACTAATGATCGAACGTACACAACGAATGCTGATCAATTTCAACAACGTTCGTGGAATGATTGGTTTCCAACTAAATTTCACAGAAAGATATTCATGGGGAATGGACCAGTTTTGTATGCTCCATTCGCGCACAACGTAATATCTCTTAGTGCTCCAATTACGTCTATCTACGTTGTGAAGTCAAGCATGATAAACGGTTTAGCAGTAGAGTTGAGGAAGAAAAACGAGCGGAGCTTGCAAGAGAACCGAAATGAAAAGAACAAGGAGCACCCAACTCCGTGCCCAGCTTTTCGGCTTAACAATTGCTCCTGCTTTGAGCATATGTATCAAAAAGCTGGTCGCTGCGAGATAAACAAAATGCTTGGCTCTATTAGGCACATATTCAAAAGTTTAATGCTAGGAGTATCCGTATATCGCAAATGTGAGAATGAATTCGATATTCTGACATACATCAGCGATCATAAGTTAAAGACGCCGTTCTGCACGCCAAATAAGTGATGATCAGGTAAACCGTTGAAAATGCATCTCAGCAACATCTGATGAACAAGAATTGCCATGGAATGGATTTCGCTATATGTCAAAGGCACAGCAAAAACCATCAACTTTGCAGTCCAAAATTTTCCATGGATATCCGAGAAAAAAAAGATGTTGTTCAACGAATTCCTGCAACAAGAAGAACCTTCTGAGTCATTCTTGCTTACGACATATGAAAAAACACGATTTATCAAAGTCCGTCCATATCACTCGGAGATCAGTATTTAGCAGATGTTACGGATGGTGATTACTGCTTATTACTCATAAGTCATCAAGTTACTCTTAATGTACTTTTTAAACTGAGATATGTTACTATAGATCCGAGAGCAAACCTTGTTTCTGACCCGTTTCAGTGGAAGTACTTTCTTATCGCATCATAAGTATTACAGATATATCGCGCTAATGAAATGTCATAACTACAGCATGCTATGAAAGTCTGCCATATGCTAGACTGATTCAAACGTTACTCCTGAACATTTGTAATAAAATTGAAAACAATGCAAGCAAATGCGATGAAATCAATAAACGTAACAAGGAATTTCATCAAAAGTTTGGAAAAAGTAGCACAAAAAATAGCCTCAATTTTCTCTTGATTTTCAAGCATGCGTTTTGATTTGTGAAACAGAGAAATTCAATATTGACCGACTAATGGCATAATGAAATTAGGGTATGTAGTTGTAAATCATTCAGCCACTTTAGTCGACTTCTTCCAAGAAATCATTTAATGTTGCAGCGCACGTTAATTTCATTCTATCTTGAGCATTTTTTGGGGTAGCGCAATCTTGGAGCGCTATCCAATACTTAGGTGACTATAAGTTTATTCTCGCTATGCAGACTTCCCAAGTATTTCACCCTTGTGGGCAGAAAATTGGTATTAAACTTTTCTAAATGGATTGTAACATCGGTTTGCCCACCGCAAGCCATTGTATAGATAAAATACTTATGAGATTGCCTCTACGATTCCCCAAATAAAGTCAAATGTACGTGCATCCCTTGAGGATTGAACAATGTCAAGGCTCACCAATTTTTTGGTACTTTTAGATTATAAGGGAACAAATGGATATTCGGCCTCGTTCGCTGCCTAAAAATTTTCCATGGGAGTGTTAGTAGTAACACTTAAACATCTTAAATATCTTATAACAACTAGTCATGAATATTTTAAATATCTTAAGCAGCTTAAAATACTTAAAAACACAAAATCGATCACTTAGATCCCTGGCTACAGCCCTATTTGGGCAATGTTCATAAGCTCCTTTATAACTCTGTAAAATCTAAAATATAATTATGTCTTACATCGACCGCGCTTCACTTTTATCACGCGTATAATTAGCTGGAATCACGAAAAGCATATGAAAGTGAAGAGAAAATCTCGTAGAATTTGAGTCAATCGTTTTGCACGGTGTTGCATGGCGTTCCTTTCAAAGGGAAAAAAATTCTATTGGAGAACAAGTTGCACCTTACATGTTCAACCCGTTAGGTCATCGATTTATCGTCCAGCTCTTCCGCCCATAGGTTAGCCGGTTAGCAAGCCGTCGTATATGTGGAATTCGACCTTGTTTTCCATTACATTGCAGTGAAACGGTATTCCAGAAAATAAGTACAGCGCTGGAATCATTAAAACTTACGCTTTCGAACGGTTACTAATAGCTTGAAGAGAGAGCTTTGTTCGGCGAAGTTTAAAACAGAAATTCTTTCTTTCTCTGAGCGCTATCAAAAAAGCTTTTCCAATAATCAACCACTTTTTTGAGCTCTCTGGGACTTATGCTAGCTTATGAGTCTAGTACTTTGAGTAAAATTCATACAAAGAAGTCGAAACGATATGAAAGAAAAAGTGTGGAAGTGTGAAACACAACATTGTTTTGGATTTTACAGCATTATAAAAGGGTGTTTTGAAAAACCGGTTGCGTCGGCTGTAGCCAGAGATTTAAGCTTCTGAATGGGTACTAACACTTCTATGGAAATCTCCTGTACAAAGAATGAGGTCGAATATTCATTTGTTCTCTTGAAGCGGAAAGCACTAAATTTTTTATGGTTCAAAGAATTTCAAGCAATATGAAGTCGTCTATTAGAAAATGAGCTACGAAGTTCCTACGATCTAATGTTTGGCGTCCAATAATCCTTAGCACTTCATCATTACGATTTTACTATTACGTCATCATAACTTTTTCATTGGTGTTTTCCAATTACGTCGTTTCATTTGTTAGTTCTCTTCATTCACATATTTGGTTAATCTAGTTTCGGATAAGAGGAGTGCTCTACAAGGGCGCCTAACTATACTTAACTTTGCTTCATTGGTTCTATACTTCAATTCAATAGACTGTCTGACCTGAATTCCCGTTAGTCAACGAGAAACTTGGGTGTCTCAATTAGCTTAATTTAGTTCTGTTCAAACTAGGCCCTCTCAAAGAAAAATGAAAGCTCGCATATTGGTGTCATCGCTTTCCATTTTACTCTATTTAGTGGGAATGTCATCACAAAAAGCTTGTCGTGGGTAAATTTCACTCCTTGCTGAAATTTCAGATAACGATATTGAGTTTTTTCTCAAAATTAAAAACTCTGATGAAGACAGACACTCCCGCTTATATAGCAGTGAGCAATATTTAACTCATTTCAGCTATGCTGAGTAGTAATTGATAGTAGTAGAATATGTAATTGTGAATACTTCAATATCCAATTATACGCTCTGCTCTCGTATCTCACTTACCCCGCCCAGTAGGAAGACGGAACTATTAGTAGGCGGAGTTGCGTAGTTATAGTCTGGAAAGTCAAGGCACACTGTGTTAAGTGGCGCTGTCTTTACTTGTAGACATTTATCGTTACCTGCGAGCTCTTTATCTCCACCATTTTTGTCTTTTTTTGCTTTCGTTCTGGTTAGATTTCTATGTTTACCTGTATGTCGACGTATATCGTAATGTAATGTTGTGATGGCAAGAAACCCTTTTTACTACTTATGAAGTCCAACTCATAATGTCACAGCATAACTCTATGTCTTTCTGAACCCATACTATGTTACGAACGATGAATGTTTCGCTCCAATCATTCTGCCTCCCAAAATACGATGTGACATTTCTTTTCGAGTGTTTTCTTAAACCACGCTCAAAATTCAGCGTATCTCATAATTATTTGAGCCATGTCATGTGGTCTTTTAGATGGGCTGACTTTTAGAGCTCGATACAAGTGTTTTGACTTTGATAGTCTCATCAGTCGCTTTAGCCAATCCTCTCGGGGTGCTCAGTCCCCTATACTAAGAGTAGGTGACGACGAACAATTTACAATGTCTATCAAGCGAAATTATCACTGAACACAAGGTCAAAACACGTGTACCAGGCTCTACAAGTCAGCCCATGTAACAGACCACATGACATGTCGGCTCAAATAATAATTACGCGATATGACTTTGTCGGTGAAGATCTTTGCGGAGGTATAGAATCAATGTCCTCTCAACTCTTTATTAGTTGTTATTGAAATACTACTCTACCTCCTAAAAAACGACTCTCCCGAATAACCGTGATAATGAGTAATTAGCTCGATTGTGTTTTTAAGTGAGAAGGAAAACCTGGACGTTTTTGTCAACAATTGCACCAACTGTCAACTAGCTATATACACAAGTCTTTCTCAACGAAATTGATCAAACTTTCGATAAAAGATAGTTATGTAGGCTAAAAGAATTCTCATATAGAATTCAGTGCGACGGATCGTTCAGATTACGATTGTCGACCTAAAGACTGCCTCTGAATTAATTGAGATAGAAGCTGTCGAGAAAACTCTGCAACGTATGAGGATCTCTTGTTCCCCTTCTCAGCAGTTGAAAATTTCTCATAAATTATGTAGATATACAAGAACTTTTGGCAGAGGAAGAAAAATAAGAATCTTGTTATGCATCTATGAAGACGATATCGTTGTCGGAAACGGGTGATTCGCCCTTATCTTAACAAAATTATTTTGACCACCCTTATAAGCGTAAGACAAAAATGCAGACTTTGCAGTTAACGCCGTCCTAATGACACTAGGGATTAGTTTGTGAGAGTGTTATACTTACTTTCAGGATGAAGAAATGATGATATTCGAAATTTATAGTATCTTAATTGCATATTTCGCAGTGTTGTGGTCATTCATATATTCCTAAGAGAATTGAGAAGAAGTATCTCTAGGACAAATCTGTCAAAGGCTGGTGGCTGGTAGCTAACATAGAGATGTTGAAGAATGAGTGGTGGCATAAGTGTGCCTCGGTGGTGTAGTGGTAGAGCACGCGTCCCATGCATGAATCAAACGCGAGTTCGATTCCCAGCTGAGGCCGTGTTTTTGCTTGCCACTCAATTTTTTTAGAAATGATGATTAACAAAAAGTATTGCCTTTAACGGATTGGTAGACTACTGGCAAGAATTAGTGGGATCTTGAAAGAATGTGAATCGCAAAGTAACAATTTTTATCTCATCGGAGACTAAGAACTGTCATATAGGTATTGAAGACCTTAAAATCGCCTTTATGTCTTGATTTCCAGAAGAGCAGAGTTTAGTCGCTCCACTCTAAATTTTATCGATCTGTCTTCATAGTGTTTTTTTTTTCACTATGCGCATCCTAGTACTTCAGTTCATTCTTTCATGTTCTTCTTGGACGCCGTAGAATACTGGATGTGCGAGTCTCCTTGCAATCTCGAGGATAGCCTGGCTGTGTCGTACCATAGGGCATTGTTGCTGACTATCCGGGTGAGGTGGGGGGAGTGGGCCACGGCTTCACTAGCACCGCGACGAGCATCACAACCGCTCGGGCACGGCGCTCCCCAGAGTTCATTCGGCATTGTCAATAAGGAAAGAGAAAAGCGAATGATCCGCAGCCATATTCACTCAAAGGCATAACTTACCTGGTTTATTAATGGTCACAAGACAACTAATTGAATTGAAGAATGAGACACACCCGACATTTATGAATGGGGAAATAAGTGTTTGAGTAAGTAATGAGTGACGAAATTGCTGGAGGAATGTCTTAAGGCGTTCAGTGTATCTGGTTGCAAAACTCATTGTGGAGAAAGCTCCACCTAAAAAGTTGAACGAGGGTTAGTCAGCAATTTTTCAAGGCTATAAAGGCATGAAAACAATTAGAGAGAACAAGGAAAGGTCACTCGTCGTTAATGGAAATTTCGTCAACAGTGTGATTTTATTTGAGAGGATATATCCAATATCATGTTCACAAGTGAAAAAAAACCGGAATTTGAAGCCATAGCAACAAATCAGAGCTACTACGGTAAAAGCAAGTCTCAAAACTCAGAAATCAGAATCAATAGATGTACTATGGTGTAAGAAGGTGGCAGCACGTCATAACGATGCCGTTGATCACAAGCACGGTACTCATTCAAGGTTACAGGTGATATCCAAGGTTTCTGTTTATGTGGGGATCGTGAACTTCATTGATGACATGTCTCAGATGAGCTCAATCAGATTGCTCCCTCTCGAACTCATGCAAATAAAAGCGGTGGTCTTTGTGGATGATGAATACGAGAAAGCGAATAGTATGCCTGAATGGTGGGTTCGCACGGCAGATGTGAAAGCTAGCCAAGTGAACTTTTTTACTTAAATGTGAACATTTTTACTTTTCTAAATAAAGATTTCTTGTTGGCACAAACGATGCACAATAGTAGTCAACTAACCAGTCTCACATGGAATGTCAAGCGCACATCAGGAAACAACTTCCGGCCATCACTTTGCTGATTCAAGATCTTTACGAAGATCTCTTCAAAGAAAAATATGACTTCATGTTTTTCGAAAAAGTAGCATCTCTTGGACTGTTCTCATATTCAAGAACGGCGAATGGAAACAATGCTGTTGATAGCAGTTACGAAAGTATGGAAAAGCTTATACCAATTTGCTCAAAGGTTTCATAATTTTTTTCCATAATGTAAGAAGTAAAATTGCAAACAGAGAGCTTTCTTGCCTCTGAGCTTGTCGGCAGTAACGTCACCTACCATAAGTTCGTACAAATTGGTTGTAACTTCTGAAACCTGCTAGTGTTAATTGAATTGAAGAAGGCCATAGTGTAGGCAATAGCATAACTCAAGGTTTCATTGGGATAAATTGTTGAATGGTTGTCACAACGATTAACATGTAAGCATTGCTTACTTTAACTGTCGAAATTTCTCTTACCATTCGATTCTCACCTTTTGCATAAGTAAGAGCATCATCTTAAGATAACTAGAGCATTTTTTCAAATTTTCGTTGCATAAGAAAAACAAGCACATGAGTGAGATGTCATGGAACTGTGGAACTCTTTCGAATTAGTGCAACGGTTTCGTCTGGTTCCTATGAATTCAACAAGTCAATCTACCCAAAGGTCACTTAATCATTTTAGTAGATAAGAACTCGATATTAGTTTCCTCGTCCGTGTAAAAATGTATCAAATTGGTTTTCTACACGGTCGCTCATCACATTTATTAAGCGGATCTCAACACTTCTAGCATTCGACTCGTTTTCTCGCATTCATTGTCCCAAAGGCCTTCGAAGATTTCGCGAGTTGGTCCGACTTGTGCCCAAGGATTTCATCTTTTTCGTGACCGTTGTAGAATGCTGATCAAGTCAAATCTCCTCAAAATCCAAAAGATAGAGAGATTAAGGGGATTCCATATCACTACAACAGAGTGTTGAGGAAGACGGTGGAATCAGTACATTGCTTCATGATAACGTGCGTCACTAACCACTCGAACATCTTCTCCGCCACCCTAGAATGTTTATTCAGATTATTTTACCCGGTATGGATGAAATTCAGGTTTGATTCCCGTCTAGAGCCGTGTTTTTGCTCACCACTCAATTCTCTTATATGTATAAAAAGGATAAAGCTCTCGGCGTTGATCAATCCCTGAAGGATGCGCCATGCATTCGACTTCAATTTCTAACTTCGTTTGAGGTGATTGAATGCATATCTGACCTATACAATGACTCGCGGTGGCCTGCCGCTGAACCGAGTCAGTGCTGCTTATCCTCCCAGACAAGTCTGAGACCTGTCTAGTACCAATTTACCGACCCCGGAGGGATGGATGGCTTGGTGAGCCATGAGCGTGAGATCGAACCATCAACCTCGTGTGCGACGCAGGGCACCTCTATCCACTGTGCCACATGCGCTCCTTATATATATATATATATACATAACATCATAACACTGCGAAAAAAGTAGTATATATATATATATATATATAAAATAGTATATAACATCATAACACTGCGAAAAAAGTAGTGAATTTACTAGAAATTTTGAGCATTGAATTTTTTTTCAATTTTTTTGTTAAGGTCCAACATATGCACGGATTTAAGTACTTCATTCTTTCAGTCGGTCTCTATTGTCCGTAAATCACGAAAATCTTTGTACTTGAGTTAGAATTCAGTTACTGATTGAGGATTTTGTCTTCTTCATAAAAGTCGTTTTGCTGAAGTGGTTAATTTGAGACTTATCCAGGATGTTCATCACACGCATTCACCATTGCTTGGGATTGAGAAAGCTCTGCACAAGCAAATAGGTTTTGTTTGCTCGGTTGATCTAAGTCCTTGAGAGAAACGGCACTTCTACCTTTGCGCTACCTGGGCCCAAGATTTGACTCTGAGTTGCTATTCTTTTGAAACGAGCCTTTGGTTCTTCTTGTGACCAAATGAAAACGAAATATTTCACATTTTGCAACACTGGGAACTCGGATTAATTAAAATTTGAACTTGGATTAGCTTGTGTTGTTAGCAGGTCAGATAAGCCAGTGGGTACTTGAGGAGAACAAATTTGCTACAAAATCACTGTTTCTAAGGAAACGAAGGTATGATTTTTTTTATTTAGTGCTTCCGCAAATAATAGCCCGTCTAAGTTTTTTTCGTTTTTGTAGTTGCAATCCATATCGTACACTGCCACTAAAGCAGAATTTTTGTCGTTTCAATCCGTATCACACACTGCCACGAAAGCAGAATAGGAAGTAAATAAAAAAGTTACAGCACTGTAACTTTAATCACATCCTCAGCTTAATCAAGCTTGATACCGATTTGTGCTCATTAGATGTCAACATCTGGTCACCGACAGCGCTAATAAGGTTAAAAGCTGTGAAAAGATAAAATAAGGACCAAAAAAGGGTGCAATGTATAACAGTGGTTAAGGAGTATGAATTTCCAGAAACAATAATTGGTGGCGCAAAGCTCAGCTAAGGACACGAGTTTGCTTCTATCTCAATTTGAACGAGTGATTGCAAACAAAAATTGAATCCATCAAGGCCAATAATTGAATTTTTTGAGGAATTTCGACTCTTCAGTACTATGTTTTATTTTTTCTTTTTTCTTAAGTGGGGCAGGAAGCGTTAAATCCAAACTTTATTCACATAATCAAACAGCTAACGTTTCGACAGGTCACCTTTGTCAGAGCCTGGAAAGGTCAAAGCTGTTTACAACTCAGTCATTCAAACACTTCCATCACTTGTTTAGAGAAAATTGTCAGACCTAGCTTATCGCATCAAGTATAAAGTCAACCTTAAACATACTTACCGCTTTTATTATTTGTTTTCCACTGAATGAACAAGTGAAGAACAGCGGAACGGTAATCACATAGGCCAGTATTGCACTATACCCACCAAAACAAAAGTCTTATATACTGATTCATATCACGGGTGATTACGAGGCATTCTTCCCTGCTGTTCATAGCTGGATTGATTGTGTCTATCCAGAACGCCTCAAGTATCTTTCGCGCTGATGTTTTTTGCTCCTGCTCGAGGATGTGACGTCTATATCAATACTCCGGCGTGCTTTTGAACTCAGTGTATAACTAGCGGGGTGTTTTTTTTTTGTATGACGTATGTCAGCTAGGTGTTCTTCTATAAAAGCATAGAGCGGCCTACCCGTTCTGCCAATATATTTATCGTCGCACGCTTCGGAAGAGGTTAGGTACAGTGTGCCTACGCACATGCAATCACCGTCTCTGCCGTAAGGGCACATTAGGCAGTTTTTGTTGTGCAGAGGCGGTGATTTACAAGATTACGGACTAATTAGCTCCCAAGAGTATTTGGCAGCATTTCTGTAGGTGATACCAGATGCTCTAGACCTGCTCTTTTCAAACATCGCTTTATAGCTGTACTAATCTCATTTGAAAATAACGGAATGATAAACGGGACTTTCCTTTCATTCGAGTTTTCGTTCGGAGGCGCATATTTCCTCTAAACCTAAGCCGAGCGGTTACATATTCGTATCCATTAGAAGTGGTTATTTCTCGAGCCAGTTTCACGGATTCTACTCTCTGCTCCTCCCCGGTACATACACTGGCTGCTGTTCAAAACATGTTTTTTATTA